ACAAGTGGATGGATTTGAGATGTGTCCTAGAGAAAAAACTGATAAAACCTGTCGGACTAGACATGAGGGGTGACGGAAAGGGTAGAATTGAGGGAAATGCCCAGATTTCCAATGGGAGCTACAGGCAACGAGAAGAGAAGAACCTGAAGGAGTTGGTGGAGCGGAGAATGATAAGTTGCTGCTTGGGGCATGTTTAAGATGAAGACGCCCCTGAGAAAGGTCAAGAGGGCAGGTAGCTATCGGAGTCTGAAGCTGGAGGAGAGACCAGTGGTGGGATGTCCATGTGATGGGATTTAGAATCGTGGGAATAGGGAAGAAACCTCCACAAACCCGAGGACCACCCTGAGAAACTCTTTCAAGCTGAAGTCCAGCAGAGGAGCAGCTGTCAGAGAAGACCAAACAGAGTGGTCAGAGAGGCAAGGGGAAAGCTAGAGAAGCCAGAGACGTCGGTTCCAGGAGAAGGAGTGGTTAACTATGTCATGCGCTTTGGAGAAGTCCACTGAGATGGAGACAGAAGAGCTTTCACTAGCTCTTCCTGCCATCTTGGAGCCTGTGGAGGTCTGCTGGGAACGGGACTTCTAAGACGCTGGGAGGCTAAATGTCTAAATGTCTGGATGGCTGTGGTCCAAGGCCATTTTTGCTGGCTATAAGCAGAGTCTCTGGAACCTAAGAAAGCACACAGCTCTTCATAAAATTGAAGGTGTTTATACCCGAGATAAAACTGAATTCTATTTGGGCAGGAGGGCTGGCTGGTTAGCTCTCTTGGTCAGAGCGTGGTGCTAATAACACCAAGTTCCAGGGTTTGATCCCTGTACCAGCCAGCGCCCCCTGCCAAATAAAACAAAATAAAAATAAATAAGTAAATAAACTATTTGGGTAGCAGATGTGCTCATGTGTACAAAGCCAAAAACAACACAGTGATTCCTGGTGGCAAACCCAGCAATACCAGAGTACTCTGGGAAAAGGCAATTAGTTCCCATGAAAACTAATGGCATTATTTGTGCCAAAGCAACCTTCCTGGTGAGGCCACCAGACACAGAATCTGTGCAATGCTATACTCAAGGATTTAAACTCATGAAAAGTAAATAAATAAAAGTGGATTAAAAAAAAAAAAAAGACTCCACTAGAATTGGCGACATGAAGGTGATCAGTGTCATGAGCAAGAGAAGCGTGGGTGAAGTGGTGGCAGCAAAGTAAGGTGACAGTGGTTTGAAGAGTGAATAAACCAGTCATAAAAGTTCTCAGCAAAACTGGAAATAGAAGGAAACCTCCTTACCTTGGTAAAGTGCATCTGTCTGGAACCCAGTGTAGGCATCGCACTTATGGATGAACTAATATGAGCATTCCCACATTTTATTTCCCTCAATATTGCATTAGCTGAATAGAAGGAAACCTCCTTACCTTGGTAAAGTGCATCTGTCTGGAACCCAGTGTAGGCATCACACTTATGGATGAACTAATATGAGCATTCCCACATTTTATTTCCCTCAATATTGCATTAGCTGTCCCAGCCCAATGCAAAATGACTAGAATACAAGGGTTCAGCAAGCTGGCCAGATACTAATATCTAAAAGCTATTCATTAGCAGCAACTAAATGGAAAAGAAAATATAAAAAAGATCTAATTCAAATAACAAAATCACACAAGACCTTTGTGGGGAAAAACAATAAACCTTCACCAAGGCCTGTGCCAGGTGATGTCCTGAGAGCGGGTTTGCTTCGGCTATTTGCTAGGTGACATCTGGAAGGACACAGGCTAGATACACTATCACTAGTGTTTCCAGAGGATGGTAATGTGCCCTTGGTCATTTCATACCACAAAGATAGTTTATTACAAGTTACAGCAAAAGAAGGAAGTGTAAAGTATAACATGTTCTGCAAAATATTGTTCTTTGTAATGAGAAATTATGTAGGCCTCTTACCTTTTAACTTTTATGAGAGTAGAGGGAGCCTGCCTCTCAATAAGGATCCCAAACAAGAGAAGCTATATGTCAACCCTGGGCCATCATCCCAGTAATAAAACAAGGTGTCAGACCTGCTCCCTGCTGGAGGCCTGACACGGGTGGACCTCTGTCATCTGCCTCTCCTATGACCAAGCAGGGGGATGTCGTGCTACTCCGATGTTTTAATCAAAAGGAAGAAACCATATGAGCAAAGGTTTGAGGAACCAGTGAAGGTACTGATATGGTACTAAGTATTATTTAACATTATCTCGAGTAGAAAAAACTGGAACTTTGCTGAAAAACCTTTGACATATGTCAGTCTCGAAAAGTTCTGAGTCCTTTGCTTATTGCCTTAAAGAAGGAATTAATGAATGAATTAGGGCCTGTCAAGGGAAAATGGAGTCTTCCTGATTTTTAATCAAGAAATCCCTCAAATAAGGTGATAAAAGAACATGAGTAAATTATAAACTATATCTATAGATAAGAAGACTCAGTATTATAAAGATGTCAATTTCCCCTAAAAAATTCATAACCTGTAAATTCAACTTATTCTCAGTTAAAGTCCCTAATGGAGCTTTCATAAATTTAACAAAATAGTTAACAGGGACTTGCCCTCCCAGATATCCAGTCTTAGGACAAATAGGTCAATGTAAGTGTTGGGGGTATGTCCAAGGGAGAAAATAAAGGATGAAACATGGATTCTAAGCAGGGAAGAATGGAAGTAAGGTTTACGGCTAAAGCCAGTGGGGTCAATGGACTGGATGTCTTAATGAGGTTTGGAAATGTTGCAGTGGGCCACTTCTGCAGGTGAGCTGGAATGACTGGAGGTTGTGGTCAGAGAGTGGGATGTTTGAGATTAAGGTTCAAAGGTGATGTCATTTCTAGTGATACCAACTGCAAGAGGTGACCAAAGGGAGTGGATGTCTGACATGAGGTAAAGAAAAAGTGATTGGTGCTTTGGTCATGGAACTGAGTTCCTTCACCAGCTGGATACTAAAGTTTCCAAGCATGATCTAATGGTTAAAAGAAAAGGTGACAGAGGCAGTGATAGAATTCACTGGAGAAAGGGACACGGGTGGGAAGCCAGTAGACAAAAATGAAGCTAGTAGCAGGGTAGTGATTAGCATGAATCTCAAAATAGCCAGCATTCTGCAAAAGGGAGGGGGAAGACTGGTCTGCAAGAAGCCCTGGAGGACAGCAAGGCCACTGACCCACCTCCAAACCCAAGACACATGGGGCAAGAGAGGCCAAGTCTTCTCCATGTGGTACATTTAAGAGAGCCCTGTGTTTACAAGTAGATACTCTCAAGAGCTCATAACGATTACATTTCTACTACTTATTCCTGTTTACTCACCTTCCCAACCTCTCCCCTGATCCTCAATATTGGTTTACAGTCAAGCAGGAGAAAAAATTTGGAAAGCTGAATATTTTCATATATAAAAAAATGGGTGTGTGCATATATACATACGCAGAAGGGGGAGGTGGCATGAGAAGGAGGTGGGTAGATCTAGAGTTAGAGCAGGATTTCTCAATAGCACCACTCTGGACATTTTGGGGCAAATCATTCCTTGTTGTGGGGGCTGTCCTGTCCATTGTAGGGTGTTTAGCAGCATCTCTGGCCTCTACCCATAAGATGCCAGCAGCAATTCCTCTCCAGTCATGACAATTAAACACATCTCCAGATATTGCCAAAGGTCTCCAGGGGATAAAACTGCCCCCTGTTGAGAGCCACTGGGTTAGAGGTGCAAGTGGAAAAGGGAGTGAGGATACGATGTAATTCAGATAAACAGGGGAAGTGGAAGGGAATGAACAAGGCAAAACGTTGGTCTCCTCAGTTTGTGGCCCCAAAGGTATTCAATTAGGCTTCCCTAAGTTTTAGTGTAAGCTCAGTGATCTGTAATAGCTACTTTCTTCTGTCTCAGATTCCCCATTTTAGTTGGCCATGTGGCAGACATTGCATGACAACATTCCTTTCAAACTGCTGGGAAGCACTCACGGTGGGGAGGAACAGGTGTCAAATGCCTTCTTCTGAGACATAAACTTCTAGTCTTTTATAGGTCCCAAACTTTCCATTTAAAAATATTTCCCCTAAATCAACATAAATCTTTCTTAAGGAACCTATGTTCCCACTGAAGTGTATTTAAACAGTTTAAATACAAAATCAGCACTGTCCTTATTCAAAGGAAAAACAATCTTATATGACCTCAGTTATTAATATCAAGGCTAAGTTCAGTAATTTTGATCCTTGGACACTTACCTCAGAATGAATTATGAACAACACTCAACATACAAATTAAAATGGTTTTCAAAATATTTTTAAAATAACGTAAGACAATAACAAAAAGACAAACTTGATTAAAAAATGGGCAAAGGACTTAAACAGGCTTTTCTCCAAGGAAGATGTACAAATGGCCAACAGCACATGAACAGATGCTCAACATCACTGATTATTAGAAAATGCAAATCAAAACCACAATCAGGTATCACCTCATACCCATTAGGGTAACTACTATTAAAAAAAACAAAAACAAAACCTAAAAAACAGAAAATATTAAGTGTGGCAAGGGTGTAGAGAAATTGGGACCCTTGTGCACTGCCAGTCAGAATGTAAAATGGTGCCACCACTATGGAAAATGGTATGGTGATTTCTCAAAATATTAAACATAGAATTACCATATGGTCCAGCAATTCCACTTCGGGTATATACCCAAAAGAATTGAAAGCAGGGACTCAAAGAGTTATCTGTATACCCATGTTCACAGCAGCATTATTCATGACAGCCAAAAGGTAGAAGAACCCAAGTGTCCATGAATGAATTAACAAAATGTGAAATATACATACAATGGAATATTACTCAGCCTTAAAAAAGAAGGAAATTCTGACATGTGCTACAACAGGAATGGACCTTGAGGACATTATGCTAAGAGAAATAAACCAGTTACAAAAAGACAAATACTGTATGATTCCACCTATACCTAGAGGTACTTAGAGTAGTCAGATTCATAGAAACAGAAAGCAGAATGGTGAATGCTGTGGGGGGAGGAGGCGGGCAGGGAAAGAGGGGTTATTGCTTAATGGGTACAGAGTTTTAGTTTGCAATAATGAAAAAGTTTTGAAGATAGATAGTGGTGATGTTTGCAACAATGTGATTGTTACTTAATGTGCTAAACTCTACACTTAAGAAAGGTTAGGATGGTAAATTTTATGTAAAGTGAATTTTACCACAATTAAATTTTTTTAATACAATAAAAAACAGCAAAAGATTAGCCAAAGTTAAGGCAACATTTATTCCACCTTAATGTGCTAAACTCTACACTTAAGAAAGGTTAGGATGGTAAATTTTACGTAAAGTGAATTTTACCACAATTAAATTTTTTTTAATACAATAAAAAACAGCAAAAGATTAGCCAAAGTTAAGGCAACATTTATTCCACTTCCTTGTAATTATATTACCTAAGGTATAAGTGGTGGTTATTTGGCAAGGATACAATTTCTTTTAAGGCATTCTATGAATTTTTGTTCAGAGATACATTATATTTGGTACAAATCTGAAAGAACCTACTTCTGGCACGGGCTCTTATTCATGATAAATTCATTTTTGCCTCGCCATGGCTTGATCAAACTTAATCGCTATTTCAGTGGCAGTTCATGGCCAGTTGTAGCAGCTGCTCTGAAGGTCACCTGTTTTACTGTGACCTGGCCAAGTAAAGTCAGAGTGGATCACAGTGGTCCTTGGTCTCTTCAGGCTGTGTTCTGAATGATGACTGCAATACCTTGGCCACCTCCAATGCAAGCTGAGCCAACAGCGTATTTTCCACCTCGACGCCTGAGAAAGAAAGCAGTGGCTAAAATCTACTCTAACAAAGAATTAATAAAATTAATTGGCTTAATTAAATGGAATTAATAATAGTCACATTTGCATTATTCATTCTTAATCAGCTCGTCTTATCAACCTTTTCCCCAATCCTCAACATTGGTTTCTAGTCAAAATAGGTGAAAATAATTCAGTTTGGAAAGCTGAATGCTTTTATTTTATTTTATTTTTAAAATTTTATTATTATTATTTTTTTGTCCTTTTTGAGACTGGCCGCACTGCGCTCAGCCAGTGAGCGCTGTGAGCGAACCGGTCATCCCTATATAG